TCTAATATCTCTACGTAAGGCAAAGACAGGCAGGGGCCCTCTGAATCGAGAAGAGTACACTTAAAACAGACCCATTATACAGATACAGAATTGTTAATAGAATAGATATTCATTATTTGTTCTAGGTTTTGTATGTCTATTCTTGTCCATTTTCTTGTTGTTTTCCACTCTATGTTTCATACTCAGCTGACTTTTCATGCTGTCTCAAAGGGAATGAAAGATTTTTTTCCATGCACTAAGCTGACTTTGGTGATTGCTCCTTCCCGTGTTTCCAAAAATGCGACGGCAAAAGCAAAGAACACAATCCTTCTTTTCACTGTAGACAAGCCATGATATGCTTATCTGTGCTCCATTTTTCATTTGGATGTAATAGTAGCTGCATGAATTGTGACTCCAGAAAAGATACAGGAAAACAGGAGGCGGGTTTGTGGTATATTTGACTTGTAGGACCTGATCGAACCTAAAAAGGACTGTATTGAAAGGGGTTTGGATCAGGTATAAAACAAACGCCACAGGCCGTCTGGCCAGCATAGTAGAAAGATGTACAATAAGTCAGACACAAACACACACGTACGGCAAGCGGAGATGGGAAACAGGTTTAATGTCAGAGATGTTTTGAAAGCACAGATGAGTAAAACAGTACAAGCTAGGACACTGATACGTAAAAGATAATAGAAAGAGAGATGGATGCCAATTTTGACAGTGTCTGTGTTTTTTATCATTGGTCTGAGGACAGACCTCTGGCATGGCCCTATATGCACACAGATGCACAGCTGGGTCCTGAGTGGTGTTGGATTGCTGAGGGGCCCTAGCAACATAGTGTCTCTCAATACATTACAGGACAAACACTTGTACCACTGTATGTGTGTGTGTGTTAGAGATCTGACTTTGGCTAAATGTATGTCAGTGTGTGCTGTATAGTAAAGATATGTGCAATGAGGATTTCTAATATTTGTGTTTTTCTGTATTGATGTATGCTAATGGACATCTTAATTCCCCTCGGGAATAATAATTGATGCTATAATCTTTACTCAACTGTCTGTGTACAGGAGCAGAAATTCAACAGTGACAAGTAGCCCATCCGGCTAGTGAGTGGTGGGATGGCTGCTGAAGAACAGTGTGTAATCAACCTAGCAGGCTGACTGTTGGTGGCCCACCAGGCTTGGGGCACATTTGTAAACATAGGCCTACACAGATATTTAAAAAGAAAAAGAATTAAGAGCAGGTGGATATGTATTTATCAATAAATAAATAAAAAAAAACATGTCAGTAGGCCTAGTGTTCTATTAATGTACACTGTAAGCCAATATACTCCATTTAGCCTACTCCAAACTGACTCACAGACCACAACGATGGTTGTGATAGGGGCTGCTCAGTGGAAAAAATTGATTTATTTTATTTTATATGAAATGAAGATACACAATCACGAGTCCATGAAATAGAGTGGACATTTGTTCATACTGATAACTGAAGGATATGCAGGCAACATTCTTATATGTATTACTTCACGTAAGGGTAGTTAGGCCCAACAAGTGGCCCTAGCAGTAGGCCTGATTCGCAATGTAAACAACAGACAATGCTGGGAAATAAGACACAAAGCCTTATAGGTCATCTTATACATTCAGAAATAATGGGAAGAATTACGTTTACTAATTATATTAGTGGTTCATGCCCAGGGTTGGCTTGACCATTTTACATAGACTACTTCTGTTATGCAGTATGACCTTTACTGAAATGAAAAATGTAGAGGTGTTTTTGTGTAAAACCTATTTTATTATTATTTTTGTGTTTATTCCCTTTACTGTGCTGCCCTATAATACATGTAGGTAAAGGCATAGAATATAAACAGTTAACAATGTATGAAATGTCAGCATATTGAGTCAGAATTGCATTGGGGGGTGGAGATGCAGTCGGGGGAGGAGAGTGTTGAGGGTTCGTTGTTACAATGTTATCCAGTCTCTCTGTCTACATGTTTGAAATGTTATTGGTTGTACAGTGTGTAAAAGACCTTTACCATTTAAAAGAAAAGTTCAATTTTTTTTAAGATTAAATGAACTTTAAAATATAATCAATGTGATAGTAGGATGGACATTGTATTACAAATACTTATACTTTTTTAAGAAAGGGGTCAGAAGCAACCATACCATATTTGTCTCAGGTGACGGTGAACCAACCCATCCATAGCTCACTGTATTTATTCATCCTGTGCAATCTACTTAAGTTTATTTATTATAATCCTTTGTTCGTCTGTAAGCTTTTCAGTTTATTTATTTACCTCTGGCCTTACTAGTCCGATGTACTTGTGCTGTTTCGGTATAGCAAATTTCCCCACTGTGGGACACATAAGGTTATCTTATTTTATTACACATCTAATCTAATGGGCTCTGTTATTTAGGTGCTTTATATAGTGTCTTGAATAGATGTGTAAAACACTCAACCTTTCATCTACTTTGCAGGTCAACCCGCATATGAGATGATGGAAACTGACCCAGACTGGGCTCCATCCCTGCATCTGGGCCACACTGACATCAGACCAACAGACACAGAACGCTCTTTAAGACGTGGTTATCGGGAACAGCTGAAAAAGAATGCCCTGCAAGCAACTGAAACGGGGCTCCATCAGGCTGATGAAATCCTTGAGCGACAGGATGAAGTTACACATGAGGCGACAGAGAACCCTAACCAGCACTGACACGCAGAAGGTTGCTGAAAACGTTGGCCGGCCAAACACCAAGGATGACACAGAAGGTGGTCGTCAGGAAGGACAGACAGAATGTAACCTGAGTGTGCTCAGGTGTGCAGAGATGAACCGTCTTTTGGAAGAAAACAGAGAGCTGCGGCGTGAACTTGATGAGCTGCGGATCTCTGATGGCTTCTTTGGAGACAGTAATGAAAAAGTCAAGTACTATACGGGTCTGCCAAACTTGGCAACCTTTATGGCTTTGTTTAATTTTCTGCTGCCTCTCATGTCTGCTCAAAATAAAATTCTCAGTCCATTTCAAATGCTTCTGTTAACCTTCATGCGTCTGAGATTGGATCTGCCCTCAAAACACCTTGCTATCTCTTCCGTGTTTCACCAAAGACTGTGTACAGAACATTCAATGAAATGGTGTCATTTTTATATGCAAATCTAAAGCGTGCAATTGTGTGGCCAGATAGAGACACCTTGCACAAAATTATGCCTCATCAGTTTGTGGAGGCCTTTGGACATAGAGTCACAGTGATTAGTGACTGTTTTGAAATTTTCACAGAGAAACCAGCTAATAATTGAATGCAAGATCAAGTACTGTTTCAACTTTATTCTTCTTTTTTTATTCTTCTTTTCACACAAATAGAATTTTGCTTTTTTTAAAGTTACTTTTGAAAAATAACAGCAAAACAAATATAAGTTTCACCATCACTTCAAATATTAACAATGTTTCTGAAGTTGTAAAAATGTGTGTACAATAAAGAGTGGATTTGAAATTTGAAACAAGCGTTGTTATTATCTTTTCAATCAAGCAGAGAATTTATGAAAATGCAATACAAAATCTCAAATACATAAATAATGCAGAACAGTGCAAAGCTTCAAATGTTTTACTTTGTCTTCCTCCCTCGTATATAGCAGATTGGTCTTTAGATTAAATTAGAAGATTATCATTTTCCCTGGACTTGATTTCATTGTGGTCTGTGGTCTTCCGTCGAGATATTACCTAACAGGTGATATCTGTGAAGAAGACTGCAGATCCCAGTGAAAACAGGCCTGGGTAAAGTGAACAGCAAATACAGTGTGCAACTTATCAATGTGCAAAAATTATGACAAGTTTTTCCGTTCAGTCTGATGAGCAGCACAATCTACTCTAATAACTGCAGCTATCTGTGCAACTGCCCACAACATCTGCCTTGTCACTGTAATAATATATAATATCGTTCCCTAGCAGCTTTAGAAAGTTTGTCTGGGTAGGGTATCCGTTCAGTTTTCTTGTTCTTTTCCATTTAACTGATAATCCTCGCTACTGGCTTGCAGCACTCTCCTCCCGTTTTCTGCTGTTTTGTTTTTCTTCCGCTCACCACAAAAATGGCGCTAGGGGGCGTGTCAGTCACGTGACTGACAAAGACCGATACTTGTGTTGCATCAAAAACCCATCATGTCAGACAAGACGCCAGTAGTGTAATTAAAAAAGGTGGAAAATTGCATTTGCCTAGTCATAATGACCACTGTGTGTGTGGTGGGTTGGATGGAGGTGAAAAATAGCCATATTAACATAACCGCAGCTAGAATTTGTTGCATAAATTATGGTAGTGAACTACTAATAAGAATAGGCACACATATTATACCAAAGTTAAAAATTACACGCGCACATTGAAGCAAATATGATGTCCAGACACTGAAGTCGGTCAAAAGCTGTTTGTGTCAGGGCCCTTAAATTTTAGAGTCCAAGATGTCTACAGCAGAACTGAATGGATTGCAACTCGAAGTGCTGTTACTCTATTTAAACTAAAATTATGACCCTCAACTTCCATTAGAAAGCCTGTAGGGTTGAAGTCAATCAGGGTTACCAGATGACGCTACGTACCTCAATTTCCAGTGTATAAGGTTCAAATTAGAGAATCGGTCTGATATGAACAGTCTTTCATGTTTTGGACATGTATCATGTCTTTAACATTTGACATGTTGACCTAGTTAAGTTCAATTATTACTTTCTGTGTATTACTTGCTGTGTCTGACAAGCATATAACTATGTTTATCCTTCCATTAGGTCAACTGCCCCTCACCTGCTCCAACCCCCACAGAGGCTTTACCTGTATTATTGTTTAGTGACACATTTTGGGTGAAGTCTAGAAATGGATCGTCGTACCTTCATCCTGCGTTGCAAGAGCAACATGGATGACTGCATTCGGCGTCTGTTGATGGATGACAGCGTCCAGTTCTTGTTTTTCAGTCAACACTGAACAGGTCTGAATTCAAACGGTCCCATAATTTTTCATGTCATACTGTATTTGCTATGACATTGCTGCCAAGTTGAGGAATGAGGTTGATCTGCACACATCCAGGGCTCTGTTTACAAAAAACTATGAAGGAGTACTAAGGCATAAGTACTAATTAAGTTTGAGCTGCCCCTTTGGCATTATATCACAAATGGGTCTCACATAATCACTGAAAGTTTTTACATATATAGGGAGAATAACTCACTGTGCACATGCACTATGCACAGGTGTTATTGTGCGTCACGGTGAGGGGGATTAAATCCACAGAGCCTTCTTTGGGTTCACTTTTCAGTGTTGTTATTGTAGCATATGATACAAGTTTTTCTTTCACTGCCGAGGTGGGGGTGAGCCCATATGCCACGCCTGGGGATTAGACATGCAATAGCCTAGGGGTTATCATCAGGGCGCTGAGAGGGAGATTTGATTAGTTAACATTGGGAGGCATTTGTCTATTCTATTTTTCAATCCTAAGGGTGTAGTTTGCAGGCTTATGATGGGGTCAACGGGACATTTGTTCAAAAAAGTTTGAGACTGATTGCAATAGCCTATACTATGCCATGCATTTGTCCCAGTTAATACAACTTTTTTTTTGCCTATATTCCTAGGTTGGAGATAATTCATAGGAGCATCCAGTGGGCAAGGGGGAATTTGCTCAATGTTCCAGATGCTGACGGGATTCTAAATGACCTAAGCGAATTGATAGAAGAAGTCAGAATGACTGCTCACAGTCAAGGAGGACAAGGTGATTTATCATTTTCTGATGTGACCACAAAAATGTTGTAGAAACTAGTTTATCTTGAAGGTGCATTTTGTAAAATTTTAGTACCGTATTTTCACGACCATAAGGCGCACCGTACTAAAAGGCGCACTCTCAGTTATGTGTCCCATTTCTGTATTTAACACACACATAAGGCGCACCAACTATAGGGCGCGTTTTTTATATACAGGTAAATGTCCTCTACTACCTTGAAATACCTCTACTGCGTATTTAAAAATACAGCAGGGGCAAAACTGAGTATGATTGTGCTTTATTCATGTATTTATTACAAACTATTAATCAAACCTGGGTGCTGGCCGTGAGACAAACACATCACAGATGACACAGCGCTGTGATCACTTCTAAATTAACTTAAAATCCTGAAACCTGCCGACGGAAATTGTTCGCTTTTATTACCGGTATCCTGGTGCCTGCAGCTAAAATTATTTAGATGAAAAACACCTGCCAGCAGCCGCGGTGAACCTGGAGGCTACCCTGCTTAGAGGCTGCTGTTGAAGGGATTTCTCCTGTCGGTGCACCGCTGGTATGTGGGGGTCTGAGCGCCTCCGACAGAAATAGATAATCTGGATGAACTGACTGCAATTATTAAGTTTTCAGGTGGACTTTCTCACTTAAAAACATATTAAAACTACTTTATTCCCATTGATCACAACAAATATAGCTGCAAGATTTAGATTATTTAGATGAAAAAACACCTGCCAGCCACCGCGGTGAAGAGGAGGAGACCCGCCCAGAGGCTGCTGTCGAATTAAGTTTTCAGGTAGAAAAATAGAGCGGGAGCAAAACTGAGTATGATTGTGCTTTATTAATGTATTTATTACAGAGTAGTAATCAAACCCATCAAAGTCATCATCCTCTGTTTCTGAATTAAACAGCTGCGCTAAATCAGACATGCCAGTTTCCCATCTTCGCTGTCAGAGTCACTTTCCGTGCCGGGCGGCTCCTCAGAAATAATGCCGGCTTTTGGGCAAGCTTGAACAACAGAGCCAGCAGACACGTTAGTCCATCTACAATCCATCCGCAAACGGTGGCGTAACTTGCCCGGCGCTGCCTTCCACTTATCCTGAAACTGTAGTCTCTGTCTGTCATCCATCGCTCCCACGCCGCTCGCAGCCTTACTTTGAACGGCTGCTTCACACCGATGTCGAGCGGTGGAAGTTCCTTTGTCAGACCCCCCGGGATAACGGCGAGCACAGCGTTTATTTTTTTTCACCATGTTTTTCTCATCAGCTGTGAGATGGGCACGCATGGAGTCACAGATTAACTGCGATGGTGATGCGTGGAAAAAAACACCTGTTCTCCTCACATACACCTCCTTCAGCCACGCTTTCATCATCTCCTCATCCATCCAGCCCTTTTCATTTGCGTTAATATCATATGTCATCAGAGCGCTGTGTCTGTCTCGCTGTCAGCTCCCAGATCAGCTTCTCTGATTGGTTGATGCGGCGCTTCCAGCAGCAAAACTTCAATTTTTTCATCTCGAGCAGCAGCAGCGCGTTGGCGGTGCGTCAGATGCTTAAAGGCTGCGGGACCTTTTGCTGCACCTATACGCGCGTCAACCATTGACTTTGCATGTAAACTCGCTGCTTCTGCTGCACCTGCTGGGTCCGGTTCACACCGATGTCGAGCGGTTGAACAGCGAGCACAGCGTTAATTTGTTTCTCCATGTTTTTCAAATCAGCTGTGAGATGGGCACGCATGGAGTCACATATTAACAGATGGTGATGAGTGGAAAAAAAACACCTGGTCTCCTTACATTGATTGATTGATTGATCATTTATTTCGAACACTTAATAAAAAGCAAATATAAGTAAATTAATAAAGTCATACAAAACAAAACAAAAAAAGAAGAAAAAGAAAAAAAAAACATATGTACATCCCATCATGTTCGAAAAGGAGTAGGAAGAAGTAATAAAACTTATTAAATCCTACCCCTGTTCTATATTAACATCTACCAATTCAGCCACTCTTTCATCATCTCCTCAATGGGGTGGTCTCAAAAGTCGCAGTTACAACACACATAGGGCGCACCGCACCAAAGGGCGCACCGCACATTTTGAGGGGAAAAAAAAGACGTTTAAGTGCGCCTTATAGTCGTGAAAATACGGTAGTTCATTTACAGGATTCATGCTGTCCATTTACAAAGACATTGTGACTGGTAAAATTGCACTTTTTTGGCATGACAAGGTGGATTCCGTGTCCACCATTTTTATGTTCCCGGAAATAGACAGTTTGCTACTAAAAGTACTGTGATTGGTCATACTTGTTAACAGTAGTTTGGGACTTAGTAAAAATTTATGAAAATATCAAATTTGGCAATAGGCAGCATAGTTTCTATGCCTATTATGGCCACAATCCAAAACAGTGGACCTTTAACGGAGTGACCATACGTTACATTAGATATTGTATCATTTTATTCTTTACTTGAGTATTTCATATTGACTATGGAATTATGCATTGCATGTTACATTGGCCTACGTCACCAAATGTAGGTAAGACAACATTTTATGTTTTTGCAGATGGATATGGTTACCAGGCCCAGCTGGTTTGGAGTGGAGGGAGAGGGCCACCTCACTTTTCCATCACCAGGCAACAGCTGTCATTTCTTATGTCTTGTGGCTTCACTGCACATCAGATGGCTGGCGTTCTACATGTGTCTGTGCATACCGTTCGACGACGTTTGAGGCAAGTGGCTATACAACGCTGAGTTTACTGTGTGTCCTATAGTCTATTGTTATACTGTATGAGAATAAATGTTAAACATTAAAGTAGAAGTGACCTCATCTGCTTATTGAATATTTAAGAAAAATTGCAATGCAAAATATGTCTTTATAAGTAAACAAATGGGAAAGTTTCAAAGTGTTTCTCAGTCAAAATTTTAGCCTATTCATCTAGTAGCTCCAATATTGTCTCCATGTATAAAAAAAATAATAGAAAATCTTTTCAAATTTAACCTTCACAAATAGTATGTTATGCAAAATATTACTCAGTAAATTGTTAATGTTTAATACATACCTAGGGATGAAATAAAACTTAGAATCTGTTCTACGTAAAATACTCGATTGATTGGACCACTGTATATTGGCACTGTTAAAAAGAGCACTCATGTAAGAGCTTTCTTAAACACCAAAAAGCTACGTAAGTTTACGAACTAAACAGCTGCTTCAATGAACAGTACACCCTTTTTTGATTTTCACATATTTCTATCTCAAAGCATTATTCATGAATGTCCATATCATTTTCTTCTCAGTATTTCCTTTACTTAGATTTATTAGTATCAAAATTAGTACCATAGATTTACCTAATAACTTGAAGTAGATGTGAGCCACAACTATTTTCAGGACGAGATTAAATAGCTGTTTTGCACTCTGGTGAATTTACCATTCATTTTAAAGTAGTTTATTTAAGTACATATGATTATCTTTTGTTTTCTCCAAGATACTTGCTACACATAATTTGGCTATACTGTTAAAATAGGCAATGCAAAAACATAGACGAAAAACCCTACATATTCTCATATTTTAATGGGACTTAACTACATATAAGCAATTTATGAAAATTAGGTGGACTGTTTCTTTAAGAAACTTTCAATGAAAATAGTCAGATGTACTATAATGACTTAACATGAACAAGTGCATGTGTACTAAATTTAATGTGAAATTGGATGTACCATGTGAATCAGCATGAAAACATGTTTATGCATGTACTGATACAATTGGAGTTTTGCCTGCACATGTATTTTTTAAAATAACTTAGTTATGCAAAGATACAGTAAGGAATGGACAGAGGCTTTAGTACATCAGGCCCCCTCTATACTGAAAATGGTTATTGGCGTTATCAATGCCCATGTCCCCTCAATTCCTTTGATGCTGCTAGCAACTTTATTGTCAAATCATGTTACATAATGCATATTGTATTTACATCTAGTGTTTTGCAAAAGTTTGTATTGGTTTAGTTTATAAGTGAATATAGTACTGTCTTCAGTAGTTTTACTGTGGGTTATCATACATTATGTTCCTATGTTTCATTATGTTTATTTAACTTTACTCTTTATGGTGAATCTTTGAAATCCCACTTTTATCTGACTTATAATGACAATGACTGCTTTCAATCTATAACAGGCTGTTCCACTTGGGCCGAGCATATTCGAGCATGCCAGACAACGAATTAGATGAACTAGTCAGAGAGGTGGTGACAGGCAACGACATGCTGGGTCCTGAGTCTGTAAGAGCGTCACTGCGTGCGAGGGGAGTTGGTGTGCAAAGAAGAAGGGTGCGGGAAAAATTGCTGCGTACAAACCCAGGGGGTGCTGCGCCAAGGTCGTTGCTGAACAGACCAGAGAGACGAAGTTACAGTGTGCAAGGTCCTAACTCTTTATGGTAAACACAAATTGATAAGGTATTTATCTTTTCAAAATGCAGTTATTCACAGATATTTAGCACTTGCACCTTTCTGTCATTGCTTACATTAACATTAAGAATGTGTTTTTAGGTAGAGGATTGTCATCCATGGTGGAATAGATGGCTACAGTCGCCTGGTTGTTTTCCTTAGAGCCTCCTCTAACAACCGCAACACTACAGTGTTGGAAAGCTTTATTACAGTTTTTCTCAAATGCTAAAACACATTTCACAAACGTTTCGTCCATGTTCTTCAATGTCTAAACACAACACCCTTTTCTAAAGCTACATAAACACAACCACACCTTCTCCCTTCAAAACTCAAACTTTCACACCAAAAGAGCAGCTCGAAGCTTTCAAAAATGTAAACACTATACACATCATTACACACTACAGCAAAACAATTGTAAACACAATGCTCAATTTGTGAGAAGGTTCTTTGTTTCTTTACTGCCAATGCATATTTTTAGAAACTTTACAATTATGGATCTTCTTAGAGTGCTGCAGAGGATTGGGCATTTAGATTTGTGAGTTTCATATGAAGGGTATAAATCTATAGTAAATTCTGTAAACTACTGTAACACAACTCACTGCAAAAGCAGAATCTATTGCACACAACAGTACTCTTGAAAACATGATCAGGGTGTGCAGTTTTTTTATTCATTTTACAGTATTTACACCACAATCACTTTGCGGCATCATGTCGCTGAGCTGCATCAGGCCACATCACCTCATCCACATCACAGGCTATATTGTCTCTTCCCAGGCACCGTGGGAAAAACGCCCTGGAATGGCGGATCCATCCTTGGAAGTTCTCCACTGGGATGTCAACACACGCCAGCTCCATTGCCCTTAGGAGGTTTTTCTCCCTTAGTGTATGGTTGTCTGTCATAAACCTTCCATCTCCACGATGAGAAGAACTCCTCTATAGAGTTCAGGAAAGGGGAGTAGGGTGGCAGACAGACATTTAAAAAGTGGTTACTGTTGGTGGTGAACCACTCACTGATTTGGTTTGTTGTGTGGAAGCGTACATTGTCCCAAATGATCACATAAATGGGATGTTCGGGCCCAGGATGGTGTTGTTGGCGGTCTAGGAGGATATCTTTTAGCTCCTCTAGGAAGGTTAGGAGATGTTGGGTGTTGTAAGACCCAAGGACAGCCTGCCGGTGGAAAAGCCCCTCCAAACCCATGGCCGCACAAAGAGTAATATTACCCCCCCGTTGGCCAGGAACCTCAGTGATGGCTCTTTGGCCAATGATGTTACGGCCTCTTTGCCTTCGTTTGTGCAGGTTGAAGCCAGCCTCATCCAGGAAGAGGTACTCATGAGGTCTGGCCATTACGTCCAACTGTAATATCCTCTGTGAAAATGTGAAAGTGCACAGGTGTTCAGAGCAACAGTCAATCAGGTAGCATATTACGTACTGTATTGTCCAGAAGTAATGTAGGCCACTGAGCAACACAGTATGTTTACTAACTGTACTGTGAACATGGATGTATACTTACTTGCACATACTCGTAACGTAGGTCTTTGTGTCGTGCAGAGTTTCGCTCAAAGGGAACCCTATAGACTTGTTTCATCCGCATCTTTTGGCGCTGGAGAACTCGGTCTATTGTGGCCAAGCTGACATCATCAATGCCCTCAAAGTTCACATATCGTCAATGACTTTGTCTCTGATCTCCCGGAGTCTGATGAGTTTGTTCTCACGAACCATATCCACAATGGGGGTTTCTTGTGCCGCTGTAAATATGGTAACCCACCCACCTCTATGTGGCATTCTTTCAACTCTAAAGAAAGAAACCTGTCGTCAATTGACATGTTTTACAATACAGTAACAACTGATTTGAAACTACTGTAATAGACTACTTTCACAGGCTTGTAAAATTGTATTGTGACAAAGAAAGCAATAGAGTACAATACCTGTTGTGTTGTCTGAATGCCCTGATAAAGGTGGCCATGGTGAACCTACTCAGGTTTGGACGGACTCTTAGTCCTGCTTCAGCCATTGTCATGCCATGGACAATGACATGGTCAATGACTGTTGCTCGCATCTCGTCCGTAATGATGGTGTGCGGTTGTCTTGCTCTCCCTCCTGGACCTTCTCTCCCTTGTTGGCCTTCTCCTCTTCCTCCTTGGCCTCCTCCTCTTCCTCCCTGGCCTGCTCCTCTTCCTCCCTGGCCTGCTCCTCTTCAACCATGGCCTGCTCCTCTTCCTCCCTGGCCTGCTCCTCTTCCACCATGGCCTGCTCCTCTTCCACCATGGCCTGCTCCTCTTCCACCATGGCCTGCTCCTCTTCCTCCCTGGCCTGCTCCTCTTCCTCCCTGGCCTGCTCCTCTTCCACCATGGCCTGCTCCTCTTCCTCCCTGGCCTGCTCCTCTTCCACCATGGCCTGCTCCTCTTCCTCCCTGGCCTGCTCCTCTTCCTCCCTGGCCTGCTCCTCTTCCACCATGGCCTGCTCCTCTTCCTCCCTGGCCTGCTCCTCTTCCACCATGGCCTGCTCATCTTCCTCCCTGGCCTGCTCCTCTTCCTCCCTGGCCTGCTCCTCTTCCTCCCTGGCCTGCTCCTCTTCCTCCTTGGCCAGCTCTTCTCCCTCCTCTGACGCGATTACCTCTTCCCCTGACTCTGCCTTCATCCATTGTGTTTGTTTGGAATCTTCAGCAAACTGTGCACTCTGAACTTGCTTTTATACACGTGGTCACAGCATTAGCAACAGGTGTTTTCAATTTTGAGTCATTGAGTGTAATGAATGATGCCAGGTGTGTTCATTTTGTTCAAATATTGCTGACTGTGGCAAGCATTTTGCATCACATGAGCTTTCATTTGAGAATATGAGCAGAGTTCTTTTGCAACTTGTGTTTTAGCAAGGAAAAATGTGTTAAGATTTATGTGAATGGAGGATTGTGTTTTGTGAATTGTGTCTTCATGTGAAATGTGTTTATGATATTGGAAAATGATGGCTAGATTTAGTAAATGTGTTTAGACAACTGGTCATTTGGTTTAGAGGATTGGATTTTTTGTGTTTTAGCATTTGAGAAAAACTGTAATGCTGTGGCTCGCTATGGTGTGCCCTCCCGGGTCAGGACTGACCGAGGAGGGGAAAACGCTGCACTGTGTGAGCTTCTGAACATCTTCAGAGGTTTCCGCCGAGGCAGTGCCATTCAGGGGAGGAGTGTACACAACCAGCGTATAGAGAGGCTCTGGGGGGACCTCTGGCGTGGACTGGTCAATGTGTACCATGAGCTGTTCCACTTTTTGGAGAGTGAGGAAATAATCAACCCTGATAATGACATGCACCTCTGGGCTCTCCATTATGTCTACCTCCCGAGGCTCAACCGAGATTTGGCTGATTTTTGCAATCAGTGGAACAACCACGGGCTGAGGACAGAAGGTCACAGGAGCCCACTGCAGATGTTTGTGCAAGGGTGTCTTCACCAGCATGGAAAGAGTTCGACTGCCATGCAGGACATTTTTTGCGTGACTGCAGCTGTCCCCGCTGTGAATGATATACAGCCTCTACCTCCTCAAGCTGATGGTGCTGCTAATGCTGCTCGAGAGCCTGATGCCCCTGCATCACAGGAAGAGGCTGTGTTGTTGCTAGACTGGCCAGAGAGAGTAACTGTTCCTTCGATAGACGTCATTATGGAAGAGGCAGTGGTGGAGCAAATACAGGGACAGTTTGACCCCTTAGGTGGACCCAGGGGACCGCATGGAATACAAATCATCCGTGACCTGGTCGCTTTTTTGGACTCCTTGTCATAGGGATTCTACCCACTTTCTCATGGACCCCCTGCAATTTGCATATGATTGCTCTAATGGGGTGGAGGATCCATATTTAACAGTAATCCGCCTTTTAAATTTGCACCTTTAAAAACCAAAGGCACATGCTAAGGATTTGTTTGTGTACTTTGTGTCTGCCAGATATTTCCCATACCTGTTCTTATATCTTCCACATGTTCCATATTTCATTGTATTAAAGTTGCCCATTTTTATATCATCCATAAACAGTTATTGCTAATTATTGATATGTGGCAATGTCTTCCTTCCATTGGGACACTGAACAGTAAAACTGAACTGTAATACTGAGGGCTTTGCCCTAACTGTTTGTGTGACGCCATCTACAGTTCAAAATAAGTGTCCTATATTGCTTACTGTCTGACTGTTTAAATAGCTCCTTATATCTATTTTCTTTTTTTAGTGGCATCATCTACAAACACAACACTAAGAATCAGCCTAAGTTTATTCAAATATTATATCACTTTTAACAATTATAAAAGACAATATAACACTATCTTATCTGTAATGTAATAGTATCCAAATTAAACAGCCAGATTCTAGCATTATTTACCAGACATTAATGTACTAATTTACTTAAGGACTATGTGGAAATCTAAAAAAATAGAATCAGTGTAAATAGAGTTCCTCTGTTTGTCTTCATCCTATTTCTACAAGTAGAATCAATTAAATAGAACTATTTTTATGTGGAAAACAAAAAAATAGAAGAAAGTCAGCATCCTTCTGGTGTTGTTATGTTCTACAAAATAAATAACAGCTTTGATATACACCTGAACTGCCGTCAAAAAACAGAAAACAGTAATAGAAAAGAAATATTGGTGAAAGGGAATCAGAAATGTTGATAGATTACAGTCTTTGCTCATTTCGACAGCAGTTTTCAAACCTCCTGTCTGACTCAGAATATTTTGTTTTATAAAAGAAATCCTAACTTTGGTTACTTTCATTTCTCAAGTTCCAAAAATCCAAACTCTCTCCTGCTTCTTCACAGAACTGCAGTCAGAAGCTTTCGCCTGTTTTAGCCTAGAATAAGAGTGGGTTTCACCTGTTAACCTCTGCACAATTATACATCTTCAAAAGAAAACACATGCTACGTCAACATATAACAGGCATATTTAGACTATATTTGGTTAAATAGGAACGTATTTACCTTCTGTCTTAGTCGCTGGTAAGTTTAAATGCAAACATTTTCAAAGTGGAAAAAAGTCCTAATTGCACATTGATCAGAGCCAGTGATGCTTCAAACATTGCTAAATAGCATCTAGTGAGTGCAGTGCTTATAAGATTTGTATTAATCTAGGAAAAAATTATGCTGTTCTCTTTAAACACATCAAAGCCTGATGCTCACATTAAGCATAAAAAAAGAGTATGCATCTTTTTGCAAAGGGCCAATGACATTAGAACGATGAAACAGAAGACCAATAGTGTCCCTACCAAAGCTGAAATCAAACCTATGCCTCTGATATTCTCTCTTGTCTCTAACCAAGAAGAAGAAGATGAAGAAGAAGAATAATTTTTTTTTATTTTTATCAAAACATTTATTTAACAATGATTCATCAACAAACAGTTAAAAGACTCAGGTCATCAGGACATCATTATAAAAGCAGCTTGTTATATTTCAGCTCTCCTGACTCAGAAATGGTGAACAACACATTGTTAAAACCCCACAGTTGTATAAAATCCTTCAAATCCCTAGTGGCTCTGTGGAAGCAGAACTCCAGCCTCAACCTGGCTTTGATGTTACACTTCCACAGAGCCACCGCATCAAGCTGAGGTCCTTCCTGCAGTTTGTCTCTTCGTGTCAGGTAAATGGCCATTTTGGCTTCAGAGATTAAATAATTTAAAATTCTGGATTCTAAGGCAGTGGCTCGGTTATAATGTACACCATTGATAAAAACGGAATGGGTAAAAACCACACTAAAAAGGCTAAAAACGTTCATTAAAAATTTAAAAAAACCAGTCAGTCGTACACAATCCATAAAAACGTTAAACACACTCTCAGGCAAACTGCAAAAAGGACATTTGTTTAAGACCTCAGGACTGATGACAGATAAAAATGCGTTTGAAGCAATGGCGCCGTGAAGTATTCTCCATTGAAGGTCACCAGTCCGTTTCTTGATGGGAGGCTTGTACAAAGTCCTCCACTGAGGCTTTTGTCCTCCAAATCTGTCTGCCCAGACATTTGTTGCCCTGTTGTGGAGAGTTCTCCTGTTTAGGACATTAGTGCATGTTCTATATAATGTTTTTGGGTCCGTCTTGCACAGATCCATCTTCTGATTTTTTAGTAGGGGTCCGCTATCCTCCTCAAAGCTGCAGGAGCCGTCTCTCCCCAGCAGTCATCCGCTCTTTCAGACGCTCCAGAAAGCTCCGCACCAATCTGGCGGACCGGACCCCCAGCAGCGAGCGGACCTCCTCGACGCCCGAGAAATCCGGCCCCGCGACCCGCACCAGATGCCTCAGGGTCACCGCTCCCGACCTGGACAGCGTCTCTGGAAGGCCAGGCACGGAGCTGTCGTGGACGTCTAGCCTCGCTCCACACACCAGCGGTTCTCCTAAAAGCCAATGCAGAGAGTTATGCGTTTTGGACCTGTGCAATTTAAAAAAAGCACATGATTTAAAGACACTTTGATAAAATTGAGGTAACCCTCTTATCTTTAAGAGACTTAAGTCTGTTAAAAACAGAGCAGCATCCAGCCCCAGAGAGTTTACACGTCTAAGAATGCAGCTGGCCACATCTCTCCACACGGGGTCTTCTGTGAGGAACTTCTGAAGGAACTGTAAACGAAAAGTGGCTGTTCTGGCGGCCAGGTGGACAAGGCCCTGACCCCCCTCCTCTCTTGGTAAAAACAAGACAGACTGTGGCACCCAATGTCGACCGCTCCAGAAATAGTTAACCATCTCTGACTGTATTTTTACAAGAAGGTCAGAGGGTGGGTCTAAAACAGAGAGTTTGTGCCACAGCTGTGAAGCGATAAGATTATTTAAAACTAGTACTCTGCCCCTATAGGACATCTGGGAGTGCAACCACTTCCATTTTTCCAACCTGGTTTTTATTTTTCCTTCCACTTCCTCCCAGTTTTTCTTTAAAATTGGTTCACTGCCTAAAAACACACCAAGGTACTTCAAACCGTCTCTCTTCCACACCAG